AACAGACTGTTTAAGAGATTTTTTTCATATGTAGCAATGTTATCTTTCTTTTTTGTCCTCACTGACACAGTTGTGAATTCTTCAGAAGTCAACTTCTGAACTGTAGGAAGAAAAGTACTTGTTCAGAAATTCAGCTTCTCAGTCTCCTCTTGAAATTTGGTGGCTTCAAGGAGTCTGCCATCAGCATGTCTGAAATAGAAGGTAAAATTAAAGTCACCATTAACCCTCTGAAGTTAGTCGTCCTTCACACTAAGAAAGGCTTCTACAAAAGTGCTGTGTAAACATCTAGGACTATAATGTTGAACAAGATGTAACTTAGTCTCTAACACTGACCAGCAAATGCATTGCTCTTCACCCTCTTCTTCCCCTCCCAGTTTAGCCTCTTGGGCTTACTGCTGTGCCCCTTGACCATGCCCAGCCTTGACATTGTCTTTGACATGTCTGCTGTTACTGGACCACAGTCATGTTCAAGTATTTGCAGAAAAGGTTGAGATTTCAAAGATGGCAGGAAATGTCAGCGATCTAAACACTGGTGAGAAGAGATACAATTAAAGGAGGAACTTCTTTCACTGGATTGTTTCTGAATCTAGGTTGTCATAAACTAGCGGGCAAAGTAACTTCTGGAGGCCTTTCATAAACAAAGCTTTGTTGTGATGTATGCAGTCCAGCTCTCTTGTCTACAGCAACTGCTGCGCCCAGCACAAACATCCCTCTTGCATCTGCACTGCCAAAGCTACAGGTCTCAATGGCAGGCATGTTGTATTTTGCCATGTTTGAAGTCAGAAATACTGTGAAACTGTGTACTACTATATGTCACAATACAGCAAGAAAAACAAGACGACCACATTTCTGACTCTGGGCAGCTTGCTGTGTAAAATTCTTCCATCATCATAACCAACTATTCCTTCAGTAGCTTGGACTAGCTTATTCTGGTGTGACTGCTCGTGTTTGTGCTCCTAGCTTGTCCTTGTGTTTATCCTAACTCAGCCTTCTGCTCCTAGCTTGCCTCTGTGCTTCTGTTTGGTTTAGTTTCCCCATATATACAAGTCTAGCTGGACTACAGAATTGTGTTCCTGAATTCAAATAACAGCAGCTTGAATTCAAAAGAAAGAAAGAAACAAAAAACACTCCAAAGGATAAAGAGCTCATAGAAGAGTGGCTACAACCCTGATGAGACTTACCCAGTTCCTCTCTCAGCTTTTAGCAATTGAGAGGACTTGTGATCAGGGATATGTCTTGCTGAGAAGTTGCTTATCTACCTCCCAGTGCAGTGATCTAGGCCTGAAATTTCTGTCTAATCTGGACTGCCAGATGACCTGGTGCAGAGTTTTTTGACTCTACCCTTGTTTTGCAGGGGAAATTTAGGCAGGGATAAAAAAGCGAAAATGCATTTTCCTGGGTAGCACAGTACTGAGCAAGGAGCTTCCACTGTGGCTGTGAGGAGAGTTTCAAAACTAGCATATATCCTTTAATATTTCATGAGTCTTCATGAATACAAACATCAGCCCTAATGAAATTGTCTCCTGTATTTTTAATAAGCCATACTATTTGTCTCAAATCACTCTTGTACTTAAACAATGGAATAAATTATTGGTATTCAAAAAAATCAATATTAACATTGTTTGAATGTGTTTTTATTGTAGGATTATATGTGCTTACTTTTAGAAGTAAAGCTCTGTGAAGACTAAATCTAATTGCTAGTCCTTTTACTTATATGCTGTAGTAAGCTTAAGCATACAAGTGAAAGCTTATATGGAAAAAAAAAAAGTTGAACTGTAACATGTGGATCAGGTTTTCAAAAGAGCTCAGCAGGCAACAGCTCTATTTCAACATCATAGTAAAATGGCTAATTTTTCACAATTGTTTCCTATAAGTTTCTTTTAAAAACATTTGACTCTTGTAGAGAAAATTCTGCTCTATAGCAGTACTTCAGAACTAGTGTGTGATTAAATACACTGTATCACAGTGTTTACCCAAAGCAAGTGCATCAGAAGTATATTCTTGCTAAGTGGCTGTGAAAAGTGGTATTGTTAATACATACTTGCCTTTTTAATGCCATATCAATTTGTTCAGTTAACAGATTCATTGTTATTTACCAGATACAAATTCAGTCTTTTACTGAGACTTTTGATTTTTTTCACAGATCTAATTAAATGTAGTTGAAAGATGTACATGAAAACTATTTTGGGGGAGAAATCTTAATGATGGTTGTATGTGAGTAGAAAAAGTCTAATTGCACTATGGATCAGCAACAACTAACAGGAAGCAAAGCCTTAAGCAGCAGATAGAAAACCTGCAGTGGAATTAACAGGATGTACCTGCATAGTAATACATACAAAATTTTTGTTGAACTTGTTTTATACAGACTATATCCCTTTTCTAAGCAAATCATTAGGTGTTTATGTTTAGGTCCTGTCTCCTGTGCTGCTCTAAGGAAGGAAGAACAAATGTGTTTTATGAATGGAAGACGCACACATGTTTTATTAAAGCTGCTAATATGGACTGCGACTGTCAGTGTGAACCATAACCTAGGAGTTGCACAGCATGTATTTCTGAGAACCTGTTCCTATGAAAGGAAAGAGTACTAATAGCTCTCCGTGTGTGCTCTGTGTCACTCTAGGATGAAGTCTGTGGATAGTAGACTCTTTGAAGATAGCAGCAACTCATAGTAGTTTGTCAAGCATTATGAGTTCTTATGGCACCCTATGCATAGTCAGCCCTCAAATACTAGGTAAAATTTGTGGTACAAATTTACAAAATTTGTCTGAACCACCCCTGCCTTTGCTTTTGCATGTAAACTGTTGTAAACTGAAATGTCTGGAATTCTTGGATGACTATCTATTGAAAACCATTGCTTCCAACTGAATTGCATTTCTAAGAGTAAGACTTCAGTTGTAGTGTTCATAATATGAACTTGTAGTGCTTCATAATCATTATGGTTTTGGATTAGTTTTAAGAATTCATTATTCTATTATTTTTTTAATTATTTAAGAGATGTTAATGATTTTGAAAGCTTGCTGTTCCAGAATTAGGATCCTTTGCTCTTTGAGGAGTTGGGTTCTCAAGACAAATGTCTGAAAATAAAGACTGGTTTTTCTAGATTTGAACCTTGAGTGCTAGGTAGTCTGTAGTGAGATATCCCCTTGCTTTTGATTTAGTGTAGCATGATTCTTGATTAAATTAAAGTGATAACAAATTACCATAATGTAAGTAAGGTTTAAAAAAAAAAATAGTGGGCAGAGAGAAGTTTCCATGTACTTCTATTTGCCACAGACTTATCTTATAGATTTCATGTCTCTACACTTCTTTTACTGTTAATTTTGTAAGGAAAGATCATTACTCTTTTTTTTTAGTGAATGATATTGACAGTAAACAACCATGTAGTGTTGAATCAGTCTGGACTGTTTGTTTGGGGGGGCGAGGATGCTCAAATGTTGGAATACTAGCTCTGGGCTTATTGGTATGAACTGAATTCAGTTCCTCTTTAATTTCAGATATTTTCCATATGGTCCTATATGAGTCTTAAGCTCGGGATCTCAATGTCTTAGGCACTGCAATTCTGCCTGAACCTAATACTGATAAAACTGTGTTTTCACATATATCCCCAGAGAGTGATAATGGAGTGTACAGATTTGAAGTACCCCTAGTTATATATCAACTCAAACCCCATTATTAACTATTTCTTTCTTCCCTAACCTTTTTTTTTTTCCCTCTCTCCTCCTTCCCTCCCCCAAAGCAAGGGGATTCTTGTTCAATTTTTGGAAGAGTGGTACAGGTGCCCAACTCCTGGGCCTTAAAAGCTATGGGGTCACAGTGGCATTAGGAATTTCTCTGTGTGAACTTACATACCTACATCCTGCCTGTGTCTGTGTCCATGCTCTTGCACCTAGTGGTTCTTGACAGGTAGCATGGAGAGTCCACTTTGTGTGTTGGCTATTGTTAACCTCATTCTGATACACCTTGTTTTCTCTGATAAGCTGTACTGGCTACCCTTTCCCTTTCAGAGCACAAATAGTCACATGCTGTTTCAAATACATCTCTCTCTCCTCCTCCTATCACATCAGTTACTCTTTACAACCTCTAAGGTATTACGCAGAATTAATTTCTTATTGTTGGTCACATGCTTCAGACAGTCAGCCCTTGCTTTGTATTTCTTCCTGCTTTCCGATTGAGGCGATTCTGAAGAGTACCTGAGAATAATGTTGAAAGACAAGTAATGCAGTCTTTGTTACAAGGCCAGGTTTTTCTTGTAATCTCCTTTACCAGCCTACTTGACTAGGTGTTTTTTGAGGCTTCCAATATTACCTAAATGGCAATGCCTTTCATAGATTTTTATAAACTAACTTACAGTGGTGTCCTGCAAAAACTTCAGGAATTTCCATGTACATGAAATGAACACATAATAGATGGTAGTTATTCATCTGGTACCATTGCCAAATGTAGAAGCCAACAGGAAGGAAGAAGAGAATGTACAAACTTGGGGACTGTAACTGTAGTAATAGTAATTAAAAAAAAAAAAATTGAGATGGTAAAATTTTCAAAAATGTACTGTAGTTGTGGACCATGAATTGCTGATATTCTTTATATATACAAAGTTCAAAATGGGATGATTGTAGTATTTTTGTGCCAGGTGCTCGAACAAATATTGCTAGAATACAGATGTTAAGTTCTGGTAAACAATTCAAAACATCTTTGGTTCAAATAGATGTTGGAGACTTAATGAATAAAGCATCAGAAAATATTCCTGATACATTGCTTTAACAAGCTTTCACTGATTGCTTTTGTGGGTGGTTTTTTCCTCCCCTTATAAGAGCTGAGGGAGCATCAACAACTTTTGAGGTGTTGGAAAGAGAAAGTGGTAGCTGACCAATGGACTTTTTTGAAACTTAAATAAAATTTGGAGATTATGAGTATGAGTTAGTAACTTGAAATATCTGGAAGTATGTATCTGTCATGAAAACTTTTAATAATTACTGTAATTTTATGTGTCTGCATTGAAGGTATCCTGAATTAGCAACTGTGTGCAGAAATCCCAATACTCTAATTTTATATCCTGGAGCTGCAGCAACCAATTTGGAAGAAGTCGCTGTGATGTCTTCCAGTCCATCTGTTATGATCATCATTGATGGAACATGGAGTCAGGCTAAAGATATATTTTACAAAAATCCTCTCTTCCAGCTTCCTAAGCAGGTGAGTTATAATATGTAAAATAAACATTTTAAATGTGTGTAATAGATGCTTGCTTTCTGACTAGCCAGAAGGGAGTGGTTTTGTGAGGATGAAAATCATTACAATAATTTTTTTTCCTTCTCAGCTGTTACCAGCTGACAAGATAAGGAAAAACTTGAAATAATAAACAAAAAAAACTATAAAACTGTGAGAAAGATGATTGTAAATATTGGGGCTTTTCACTTTGTCACTTGAAATTTTTGTTTGTTTTGAGTTAATGTGTCTAACTTCACAGTGAATCATTATTTTGCAAAATTGAAAACTGGTTTGTGTAGAAAATTTTTGCCTGTTGCCTAAGATATTAGAACATACACAGTGAAATAAGTATTTTTTTTTAAACTGTGTATTTTGCACTGCAGT